TATCCTTACCCCAGCTTCTATATAAAATATCTTACAAACTGGGGTATTGACATTAGCACAATGTGATTAACTAGTCTATAGGCCTTATTCAGATTTCACTAGTTTTTGGATGCACTCATTTGTTTGAATGTGTATTTTTTTTTTTTTTTTTACAATCCACACACAGCACCACTATGATCAAGATGCGAAGTTGTTTCATCAGCACCAACGAATTAACTCCCTCATTATGCCTATTTATAGTTGTAGCCTTGCCCTTCTTCATCTCCCTGTCTCCTGGGAAACACTACCTTCTTCTCCATCTCTATAATTCTGTCATTTTGAGATAACCTTTTGAGATTGACTTTTCTCATTCAGCATAATGCCCGTGAGATCCATCCAAGCTGCTGTAAGTATCAATAGTTCATTCCTTTTTATTGTTGAATAGTATTCCATGGTATGAATGTACCACAGTTTGTGAAAACTGAGTGAAAAAATATATTGTTTTTTGTTTTCCTTCATAGAAACTGAAGAAAAATCTTATATTTTGCTAAAGTGATACACTTACTAAAATACATTTGTTACACATGTTGAAAAAGTTGAATTAAAAATATTAATCAGCATGATTTTTTCTCTTATAGGAATCTTTGCTACAGAGATTTCTGACACCTGAAATGATTCTTCACATCCCTGAGAAAGGTCAAAGTTACAAACTGATTTTTTTTTTTTTTTTTTAGACATGGTCTCCTAAGTAATTTTAAAAACACAAAAAGGAAAAAAAATAAGGCTCTAATTATTACAGGAAGTGTGCTTAATATTTTTTTTTTTTTTTTTTTGGCGACATGAGTGCATTTATCTTTTAAATGCTTGGCAATGTTAAATGTATTTATTAACTTTGTGTCTCTGAATCTCTGTTCTAATGTGCCATGTTGCAGTGATCTGAGATGACTTCTAAAAACAAAAATGCATATGGCTCTTTCTATCCATGCAGTGATAGTGAGTGTAAAATCTGCTTACGTCACTATTGAACACTGTTATGTTCACTATCCGGAGTAAATAAAGAAACTTATTAAAACAGGGAAAAGTGTTTTTACAAAACTGATTTCCTTTCCTTTCTTGGTATCTCAAATAATTGGTTGGTTAATTTTTTTTCTTTGTGATTTGTGCTTTCATAGCTGGAACATCTGTGCCAAAATGGGTACAATTTACCAATACTGGCCTGGGATCTGATATTCCATTTTGGAACCAATCTTACATAAATTCCATGCCATAATCTGATACTGAATCTGCAGAAAGTAGGAGTGTTGTCAGGGCTTTAAAATCTGTAGTATTGTACCACCCAAAGACTAAGTAACATACATTTTCTACAATTGTGTTTACTACTACTATTTTTAGAAAGGTAGGTGATGATATATCTGTCAAGAATGTAAGATTTTATTAAAAATCTGTATTTTTAATAAGTTTTCTTTCAAGTACTGCAATCAACTTAATTGCCATTTTATTTTATTGTCTGTAATCTAGAGTAACAAGATAAGTGATGTTTCCTTCCTCCCCCAATTTCCTAAATCTCTTACCTTATCTATCCATAGGCTTTGATGTAATGTTCATATTAGAGCCTGAATGCTACTGTATTTTACTGATCTAAGCTATTTGTATTCTTGCCATTTTAATAAAAAAAGGCTTGTCATTAATAGTATTCATATGATGCAGACAATTTCTCATTTTATATAGTCACTATTCGATATGACTATAGTGATGTAGGAAAGTGCTCTGATTTAGGTTTTGTTTAATCACTAGCACGCTGATATTTTACTATAATTTCAGGCTATATATTCACTTTAGTTTGATTTTTTAAAACCTTCAGTTTCAGTCGTCTAGTTTAAGACATTAATTACAGATTGGTTAAAAAATTAATAATGTAAAGTAAAATGCCCTTTTATAAGCATTTTAAAGAATAATATGCAAAAAAGTTGTCCTTGCTATTATTAAATAAGATGTTGATAAACATGAAAAATTCATCTTTCTTGGGGTGACTCAATGACTTTAGTACTGGATCATCACATTAATCTGTCCACCTAGAAGAGCTGACAAAGAGCCGAATCTTACTGTCATATGCACTTAACACATATTATGTGTGGAGGGCAGTATGTGGGAAGGGAGCCTGAGGGAAGCAGGAATGAAGTACGTAAGAAAAT